TAGGAAAGAAATACAATAATAGCAAACAATAGACGTCATTGGTCCGTAGGAGGTGGATGACCAATGTCCATGAATGTTAATACCTGTATATGTCCTGGATCATCAGCTTCCTAAGACCCTATGAATGTTCAGACGTGTTTCTCTACATTTAAAGAAGACATATTATGCTTGTGCCAACAATAAAGCGAAAAATTGGACTAGTTGTGATGTTTTTTCACTTGTGTCGATGTTTCTATGACACTGAAAAAGGAATGAAAACAACAATGAGTGGGCTTTCATCTCCACGAACCTACTACTCCTGAATTTAGTTTGTTCTTTGGCGGAAATCTAACACAGTCTGGGATATATCAGTAGACTGCAGAAAGAAGAAGGAGTGCTGACATCACCCATGGCTAATTCAAACATTTTTTTCCCATGGTTGGGTACCTCGGTTACTTTTAAACTTCACACGTACTTCACTGTTCCACTTTCTCTTTGTTTCGTCTTTCTTCTCGTGTTTCCTCTGTCTACAGCGTTTTCCTGTATTTACTGTAAACTATTTTGACTTTTTATAAATATTTGACTTTGTTTTTATTGTTTGTGGTGACTGTGCAGCGCTTTGTAAACACTGTTTTTCATAAAGATGTATTATTATATTAATATTATCTCAAACTAAATTCTCTCTTAGCATCTAAACAGCCAATCGGGAGTGGACTATCCAAATACTGACGTCTCCCTTTGATTGACTATATTGATTCTAAGGGAAGAATCCAGTCCAGTGGATTGAAATCTTAGAACATTTCTAAAATGCTTTCTGCATGCACCTTTGTAGTTCCCTATTGCGAATGTCATCACCACAGTGTACTGTCAGCAGCACTCCAGAGCTAAGGCTCCACTCTGGGTAGACATAAAACTATTTGAGGAGATGTTTGTACCATAATGTGACATGACAATCCGACCACATCCTGTCTTTGTTTCATTAGAAAACATTTTATTTTTTACACACTGAGAGCTGATTTGGCTAGCACTATTGTTTCCAAAATAAATACATCTCAAAACTAGTGCTATAATAATTTGCTACATGAATTTGATTACATTTTTATTGCTGTTGTCTCAAACTTAGGTACTGCAACAACTTTAGGCAAACGAGAACGGAAAACAATTATAACATGGTTAAAAGATGGCAGCCTGGAAGCAGTTCCACGTTTCCAAAGTCAAGCGCTGCATTGGAGCCGCTGTATTTGCAGATGTCGCCCTCTCACTTTCATAAAGATTATTTGTTGCAGAGAGCGAGAGTGACTAGTTCAATCTGGAGCAGCGGACAAAGGATAGAAAAAAACCTACTCACAGTCAATGGAAGGCAACGTTTTGAGTTTTTTTTTCCTATTCCCATTAATTAACAAAACATATGAAAAGTTTTGTTTCCGGATGAAGGTCTGTCGGCTGAAACTCATCATGGCTCGGTAAGGTTTTTTGACACATGTCATAACTAAGAAAGCACGTTTAATTTATAAAAGAGGGCCTCGGTTTTTGTATTTAAGATTTAACACTTAGTTTTGAAGGATTATCCACAATTGCTGATTCCAATTTCCCATCATTTGTGACACAGGCAAACAATGGCTTTGGATTGAGCTGTTACAAAACTGAAGATGGTGTATTCATATGATTCTCTTAATTCTGAGCTTTAATAATGTTAAACTTGTAAAGGAGGGACTTTTTGGACACTTGAAACATTTTACAACATTATCTCTAATTAAGATAATGACCCCAGTGATGCGGTCGCTGTACTAGACTGTTGTGATGAAGAGGGAGCTGAGTCAATCTACGTTCCCGCCCTCACCTATGGTCATGATCTTTGGATAATGACGGAAAGGACAAGATTGTGGTCCAATGAGTTTCCTCAGGAGCTTGGAGTAGAGCCACTGCTTTTCCACAACGAGAGGTCTTGAGGTGGCTTTGGTGAGGTCTTGCTTATGCGTGATTTTACTGACGTAACACGAATGACCTGTGGCTAACTTACAGCTGATCTATCGGGTTGATAACATGGATCTACTTGTCACGTGGTTGCATGAAGAAAAAGGGAACCCAAAATGCAGGACTGAAAATCAAATGTAATTTAATAAAAATCTAAATCCAGAGAGACAAAGGCACAAAAATCCAGAACTGAAAAACTAGACAAGACAAACTAGAGACAATGGACGGACAACAAGTGGGGAAAAGCACAGGGTATATATACACACAGGAGACACAGGTGGATCACATTAGGGCGGGGCTAACAATCAACAGGACACACAGGAATCAGGAAAACTCAAAATACAAGAGAACTAATAAAGTAAATAAAACCAGGTTAAAATAATCCAAAAAGTCCACACCATGACACTACTAGGTTGATATGGGATCTACTAAATGGATCGTAATGTATCCATGCCCTAAGCACACAAAACAGACCAGCTCCTCGTGAACGCTCTGATTTGAGAAGTTGGAAGATTACATATGTACAATGGATGTTTTCTGAGATCGCATGAATGGGGTAATATACACTACAGCGAGACACAGGAGAAACACATCGGGGCGGAGCAGACAATAAACAGGACAGGAAATCAAACTAAGACAAGAGAACTAAAATATATAAATAAAATCAGATAATTAATAATCAACAAAAAGTTCAACGCATGAGAGAGATGTCAGATGTCCCCATGACCATTTTTCAAGGCCCAAAAGAACACAAATAAAGCGCAATACCTGTCCTTTAAACCACATTTGCTGATCCAGTGCAGGCTTTTGAGTCCGGTGGTGGTGGTGTACTTAAAGCCTGAGCACTGAAGAGCAGACGAGGCGAGCTGTAATTTCAGGTTAGTACTAATGGGCCATCTCCTCCCTCCTCAGAGCGGCCAACTTCCATCTGCTTCAGGGACTCAGCGCAGCTCTGTGTTCCCACTGCCTGCCTCCAACAGCGGGAAAATGACATCCACAAAGCCCCCCTGGAACAAAGCCCGACCACGCATGAGGGCCCATGTGAGGCAGTTCACTTTTTGACTGTTTGACCCTAGAAGACATGGTAAAATATAGAAGTATGTACTGTATGTCTATATCTATATATCTAAGATTTAAAGTAAAAATATGTAAGATTTTCATCTCAAATCATCAATAAATGGCCATAACATGTCACAAGGTAATAATATATCATGGTCTTTTCCAATACTTCTTTAACTGATTTCAAAATTAGATTTACAGCCCCTAAATCCTGTTATTGTTTTCATCTGGATGCACCACCCATCACCGTTTTACCAATCAGAGAGTCCGTGATCGGGGTTGCCAGAATTTGTTGTGTAAAGCTAATCTCACTGGTTAAGTAACATGTGTCCGCAGAAACAAAAAAAGGTCTCGTTATGATTCTCAAATCATGAATAACAAAACAAGGAATAAAACGAGGATTTTTATTGGGCCTTTGTGAAAAAGGTGTTGGTTATAGATTTGTTGTTTACAAAACTCTTGTCTATTTAGATATTATGGTCCCAGCTGGATTTGTCTGCATATCTGGCAACCTGAGTCAGGGAGAGTGGGAGAGGTTGCAGTACCACTTATGGCCAGATTTTTACATACTGTTCCTTTAATGATTCTATTTCAGTATACAGTAGCTCTATGGGAAAGAAGCAGTTTTTGAAGGAAATATTGAAAAAGACAATACCCAAATGTTTCTCAAATCAAAGAAAATGGGATAGAGCTTAAAATATCAGACCAAATTTTCAGAAAAATTAGCTCTAAACTAAGTTGCCAGATGCCGAAGTTATCAGGACACATTTATCAGCTGCCCTCCACCACAATGTGATACTGTAGACTCTTTGGAATGTTATGATGTCACATGAACACAAGCTATTAGTGCATTTTTTTAATAATAATGTTGGGTTGTACATTGTATATTTACAAGTCTTAAGTATTTACATCATAGCTTTTGCCAATTGGCGTTTTCATATTACAGACCAGTGTTTTTGTACACACACACACACACACACACAGTGCAGTTCTTTTGCAGTAGCTTCTTTCCACTTTGTGCTTTGGTTCTGCCTCTGGGACGTTCTGCTGCTGGCGCTGATAACAGACACGCGGAAGATGTTATCGGCCGCAGAGTTCAACCGGTGACGTCTCCATCACCGAGAGCAGCCACCATCTCAGCCCCGGGGTCCCGCCATCGCAATATCAGCAATTCCAGCACAATTACTGACAGTCTTTACAAGCGAGTGGTGTCAAGAGATTCAGATTGCATGAACTTTTCTTACAAACATTGTTCCAACCATAAAATCGGTTGGGTTTTTTTCTCCAGATTCTAATGGTTAATCTTGTCTTCTTTGGAGAGGCTAAAGATATCTTATGGTAAAGAAATCGGAATCAAAACCTCTCGCCTCTCCACCAAACCAAACATCCAGCATTTTCTTTTTTTTTGTCACAACAGGGAGAGAGGGTGGCAAATGTGAAATCGGCATTTTCCGTTCAGCTATTTTAGGTTTTAGAAAATCCGATAACTCAGGTGCGCACACTCACTAAACAGGAAGAGGGTGAAGGGGGTAAACGCATCCCATTGGTTCAGTTGGTTTATTTTTATCGATCCGCTCCAAAATTCTGGTCAGTTCCATTACTATTTGAAAACACATGATAACTTGACTACTTGTAGGGTTTAAGGACGTTTTCCCACAATATTCAAAATAATGCGTCTGCAGCCGAGTGTGAAGCGGCTGGGATGAGAATCAGCACCTCCAAATCCGAGGCCATAGTAAGTAAGTAAGTAGTAATCTTTATTTATATACCGCCTTTCACAGACCAGAGTCACAAAGCGGTTTACAATTGTTATTTTTGGGCACTTGTCCTCTCACTCCACAGAGAGATGGGAGCGGGGTCGCCGAACAGGAGGCGCATGCCAATCCTTCCATCCATCCATTTTCTTCCGCTTTATCCGTTGCCGGGTCGCGGTCGCTCGACCGGAAAAAGGTGCTTTGCCCTCTCCAGGTGGGTGGGGAAGTCCTTCCTCAAAAGATCTGCATAATTGCACACACACACATCCTAGAAGGAACACTGCTTGTGTCCACCTCTTTTTTGACCTGCGGGAGACATCTTACATCAATATTCACCCATATCTTCAGTTTGAAAACATCTAGTTCAAATACTTACGGAGGTAAGTGCGTGGGCCTGTGTTTGGGAGCTGTGATTGATCCATTGGAGACCCACTTCTTGCCTTCTGTTTCCCAGGGGCGCTGAACACCTCAAGCACATAGCTCCGCAGAAGTGTCCCGGACGAGGACATCCTCTTTACCTCCTCTTCTTCCTGCTCATGGGGAGAATCTCTCAATGATGGTCCTTCCTAGCTAAGACTTTCCCTCGTATACAAGAAGTACCAAAACATCATACTTGTATGGGAAAGTTGTATACAGTGTTGACCACAAGTCACAGACAGAGTGGTGAGGTCCAAAGCTTAAGAACACAAGGACACTTTACATACCTGATCACAGAACTCTCCTCTACGTCTCCTCTCTTTCTCTTTTGGCCACAAGTAGGCGAAACCCCGAGAGTCTCTGGGAGAGAAGAGGGCGACCAAATACGCTCACTCTCCAAACTATTAGAAAACATTTTAGAAAGTATTTGTCAGTAGTAGACCTTGTAGTTGCATAGGTAAAGCTTATACAGTATGTCAGCTCAGGACTCTGAGCTAACATGGTACCATTTGAGAAAACATTGGCCAAATTCTTACCGAGGTTTGTGGTCCGGTGCTGCGGAACCCGGAACCAGATGTGCCTGAGATGGTACAGGACCAGTTGGCGTGTGGGGTTTTTTGCCCCGAGAATCTTTAGGGCATCCTGGACGATGGGAAGACTCTGTAGAACTGGGAGAGAGACAAAGATGTGAATAATGTTCAAAGACTACAGCGTTCAATTTCATGTTTAATATTTTAGATTGATGTTGGAGAGTGGAGCTGACTTTGATACAAGTGCGATCAGTGACAAATGTACATCACACTTCAGGTCACAGACAGAATGGAGAGGTTCAAAGTGTAGCAACACAAGGACACATCAAGAACAAACGGTAATTTCTTTACATACCTGATCACAATAACCAGATCTTTTCCTATGAGCCTTTTCTCAAGACGTACTTCCTCTCGCTTCCTCTTTTGGCCAGAAGTCTGGCCCTCAGAAGTCTCTGAGTGAGAGGAGGGCAATTGACTCTCCAAACTAAAAGAAACATTTGTATAACGTATTTGTCAGTAGTAGACCTTGTAGTTGCAGTTGTAAAGATGACACAGTATTTTACAAGCAGGTGTCTAACTAGGAGCTAACATAGTACTATTTGAGAAAACATTGGCCAAATACTTACTGAGGCTTATGGTCCGGTGCTGAGGAACCAGGAACCAGTGGTGCCTGAGATGGTACAGGACCAGGTGGGGTGCAGTGTTTTGTGCCCCGAGAATTTCTAGGGCTGGTGCATCCTGGACAATTGGAAGACTCTGTAGAACTGGGAGAGAGACAAAGATGTGAATATTCAAAGACTACAGCCTTCAATTTCAATCAGTAGGTTTGATATTTTAGATTGAGGTCGGAGAGCGGAGACGACTTTGATACAAGTGCGATCGTATGTGACCAGTGACAAATGTACATAACACTTCCGGTCACAGACAGAAGAGAGGTTCAAAGCTTAGCAACACAAGGACACATCAAGAACAAACGGTACATTCTTTACATAAGATAAGACAAACCTTTATTAGTCTCACAGTGGAGAAATTTCAGTGTCATCGTTGCGCACATTACAACAGAGAAAGGAAATAAGAGCACTCAGATTGCACACATAAAATAAGTCAATTATTTAATTGACTTATTATTTAATAAAATAGACAAATAAAATTAAGAATACAATAAAATGAGATAAACTCTGGGCCATAATTGCACATACCTGATCACAATAACCTGATCATTTCCTCTGAACCTTTTCTCCGGACGTACTTCTCCTTCCTCTCGCTTCCTCTTTTGGCCAGAAGTCTCTGAGAGAGAGGAGGGCGATTGACTCTCCAAACTAAAAGAAACATTTTTATAAAGTATTTGTCAGTAGTAGACCTTGTTGTTGCAGTTGTAAAGATGACACAGTATTTTACAGTCAAGTATCAGACTAGGAGCTAACATAGAACTATTTGAGAAAACATTGGCCAAGTACTCACTGAGGCTTTGGGTGGTCAACTCTGGTACGGAGGGATGGGCTGATGAAGGGATGATCCAACACCTCCTGGGGGTCAATCCTTGAATCTGGATCCATGTCCAGCAGCCGTTTCATGAGGTCTACAAAGAGATGTAGATCCCCACAGCCGTGTGGATTCATCTGCAGAGAACACAATGTCAAGCAGTATCTGTGCCTCACCGATAGGGGGCGATACTGAGCATGAAGTTCATACCCAAGTTGCTGGAAAATTGAGGATTGGATTGAGGATTTTTTCTCTGTGTTTTATATAGAAAATTTACTAGATAGCTGCTTCCCCGAAAAACATCAGTTCAAACACTGCTCAAGAGTTCTGCAACTTTTGTACATTCTTGTTCATGTTCACCGCGTCAATGTGACTGTGCATTGTAATTCTCAATGTATGCTTCTTACCATGAAAATATCCTCCAGTTTTCCAATGGAGCCTGGTCTCTTCATTTCCACAGAAACACATGATGACTGGGACAAAAGAAAGACAATGGACAACTTAGTAGTGTTTTGGTTAAGAATAATATTCACATATTTAGCTAATTTTGGAAACAAGAAGGAAAATAGGACAGGAGAAGAGAGCCAAGATTTGAGGGGGAAACCCTAAAAACTATGGTGCAATTTCAACTGCAAAAAAGTCTGTTCCGTTGAAAGTGTCCATACCTTGAGAATCCAGTTCTGTCCATCAGGACTACAGAAGTACTTCCGTGTATGCAGACCTGAGTCCAGTACATGTCTGGGAGGCAGACCCAACATCCGGACAATCACTTCAATCTGTGGAAATAATGCAGTAATGTGTGTTAAAATCGTCTTTAAAGCGCGACTAAACACCTGTGCCCAGCCTTACTCCGCCCACATGAAGATTTGAAAATTTTCTCTAAAAAGGGCGTTGCCTGGAGGACCAAGGGACAAGAAGGGGGGCTTAGAGTTGGGCGTGGTCTGGGCTGTGATTGACAGCTCACTTGTCACACAAAAAAACAGACAGTTGTCATTGCTGCTTAAAGACCTTATGCCGGGTTTAAAAAAAAAAAATTTTGATATCAAAATTGCATGACAATGTCAATCTGAAATAGATTCCGGCAAAAAAAATCCTATATTTTATAAAAAGAACGTGTTTTTCATGAATTTAAGTTGTCTATGCTCTAACCTGTGTGTGACGTCATAGCGGGTAACGCCCATGCATTGAAAACCATGGATATATGCCACAGGACTGCTTTTTCTCTCTTCTCTCCACTGATGCCCAACACAATACTGCACTCTACAGGTGACAACTGCTCACTACACATAAATTGCCGTTTTGAGAGTGAAAACGGTAATTTATGTTAAATATCCGCAAAAGAAGAACGAATACCAAATTGTAAACAACTTACAGCGTTGAAACGTACCCACTCTGACGTCACCAAGGGCTGTGAAGTTTTTCCGTCTCTAAGGGCGTTGCTATGGGGTTTTTTCGATTTGGGGGATCAGACAAAAAAAACAACAACTGATTTTGAAACCTTTAGTAGTTCTCTTCTAATATAAAATGGTATTAAAACTGTATTTCTAAATAAATCAAACCCGGCATAAGGTCTTTAAAGCAATAGTTAAAGGAGCAATATGTAATATTTGCATGTCAAGTCATCATTAAATGACCCGAATATTTCAAAAGGCGTTATTAAATCATACTCTTTTCGAATTCATCTTTAACTGATAACAGTAGTTCAGCCGAGATATTTGATTATCAAAATTAGTTTTACGACCCGTAAAAGTTGTTATTGTTTTGATTTTGATGTCCTACCCTCCGCCGTTTCGCCAATCAGGAAGTGTCATGTAAGTCCGTGATCGTGTTGCCAGAACTCCGCGCGGCTCATTAATCTCAGTGGTAAAATAACATGTGGCGCAGAACTAAAAAAGGTCTTGTTATGACTCTCAAATCATTAATGACAAAACAAAGACTAAAACGAGGATTTATATCGGGATGCCTTTGAACAATTGAGACAGCTGATAAAAGTTCACGTGTGATGCAGAATTTTCTAGTTTGAGTCCGTTCTTCACAGTGTCTCTGTTCGTGTGAATCGGTGGTCTAGTGGTCTAAGCTGTGCGCTTACGATGCAGGAACCCGGGTTCGATCCCAGGCTATGTCTTTTTGTATTTATTGCATGTTATCACATTCTATGACAGATTGCTCTAAAAACGGTAAAAGATGAAGGTCAAGACGTTTTGTTGCAGATTATAGCTTAATTGTAAAAATAATCATTTAAGACCACATGTACCCCAATTAAAATAATGTTAGTCTCTTTTTGATGTGGGACTTTTACATGTTTGTCTAAAAAATAGGGAATAAATAAAATTGAAAGGTCCTCTTGAGCAAACCCTGATGTTGATACGCTGAAGAAATACGTTCCAACATCCATTCTTCCCACTCCTATTTTGGACATCATTTGCTTATTTATTTTGCATAAACTATGTATAATTACATTGCTTTTATTTTGTTTTTGTTTTTTATCTCAAATGTTCAAATAATAATAATAAAAAAACATTAATCAAAACATTAATTCAGCATTAGCACGGCTGTCATGGCAATGTGAATGGAGACGGACAAACAACTGATAAAATAATTCCCTGTTTTTGCTGCTGGATTTGGTGTGAATCTGGCAACCTGAGTCAGGGAGAGTGGGAGAGGACCACAAAATATTGACTGTGACTGCAGTACCACTTTTGGCCAGATTTTTACATATTGCTCCTTTAACAGACCAGAAAGTCTCATTCCACCCTTGTTTACACACTAAGATAATTCTAAAGCTACACACCTGAACCTAATCAGACTCAATAATCTCAGAATGACTCATGTAATTTAATTTTAATCCACTAGATGGCACCAGAATACTCCAAACTGCAGCTGGGGCGTGTGTGAGAATTGAATGGGTTCACATCACTGGCTCTGACAGACTGACGTCACACAAAACAACTGATGTCATAGAGAACTTCTGAGTCAATGGAGAGGCCAGAACCAAATTCAAATGTAGTACCACCAAAAAGGTTGAGAGGGCACCACACAGCATTTTTTGGCTCAAAAGTGATATTTTACCTAATTTGAACTAAAATGTCAAAAAAATGACCAGGATATGTAGAGAGCACTACAATAAACATACTTATGCAGTTTATGAGTTAAAAAAAGTTGATTTGGTGTTTAGTCGCTCTTTAATGGCAACTGCATGGACATCTTATTGAATGAGCTATGGGATTAAATGGTAATCCAAGATCCAGTATTACACATCATTTCATCATTACCCATAATCTGATAATTTTTCCGGTAAAGTTTCAATACATCAAAACAAAACATTTTCTAAGTTACTAATTATTTGCTGTAGTTGCACTTGGAGTTCCAATAGTAGCAGTAGATGGACAACGTCACACTCACCAGTTCACAAGAATTTCTGGCGCTGAAGAGCCGTTGTCCAAGGAACATCTTCGCAGCTATGCATCCCAGCGACCACATGTCCAAAGCATAGTGCACAGGCGCTCCTACAGCCATTTCCGGGGTGCTGCACATACACAATGTCAACAATTTACAGATTTTATTACAATGCTTTGGTTTTATATAGCACTTTCACATGGCAAACCTTTAAAAAACATACAATAACAACAAATACATCAGAGCAATTGGTTCATAAAGGGTGGATGTCCAATGTCCATAAACGTTTTTAAATGTTCATGAATGTCCTTAATCTACATGTCATAGATCAACACCTTAAAATGAAAGACACAATGAGGGAAGATCCACTCCCATGGACAAAATGACTCTAGATCCAGGACTCACGCTGTACAACGAGGATTGAGATCACATGGTGTAGGACTCGAATTACATGTCTGTTAATGTTCCTTCTTTGTCCCTTTGACTGTCTTTCCCTCTTATGTCCATGTCCCTGTGCTCTACTGTCCCTCACATACCTGTAGCAACGTGTCCCGAAAAATCTACCCTGCTTTGCGAGACGTGCAGGACGAGCCAGTCCAAAGTCTACAATTTTGACCTGGAAGGGCTTCCCTACACGATCCACCAACATTATGTTGGCCGGCTTCAGGTCTCCGTGGATCAACTTCACGCTCTTTAAAAACTTCAAAGCCTCGGCCATCTGCAAAGTAAAGTGCTGAGTTTGAAAGCAATCATAATAAAGACTACATTTCTCTAAGTAAAGTTTGTATACTATACCTGTGTGAGGATTGGCCGGATGTGGTGGAGCGGCAGAGTCGAGGACGTTTTCAAAAAGTCTCCCAGACTAATATCCAGCACCTCATACTCGTGGCAGACATGGCCGTTAAAATTGAAGCTGCAGAACCACTGGACGATGTGGTGGGACGCAGATCCAAATGTACTCAGGTATTCCATTAAAGGACCCTATAGGGGGCGCACATGGAGAACCATTACCAATTGTTAGCATTATTAATTCCCCAACCGGGGATGAAAGTCTCAATATCCATTCAGCAATTTTGAGACTTTAGTGAGTGAGTCTGAACCACTGGGACAAGGGGGGCGGGACATAGCAAGTCTCGCCCCCCTGGCGCCTAATCAACATGTGTTTCACCCGTCTTACCTCACGATCAGGATTCTTCACCACCTTCAGTGCCACTTTCTGGTCAGCGTTGTTTTTGCGACAGAGGGCAACCGTGCCGTAAGAGCCTGAGCCCAGGATCTTCTGCACCTGATAGGAATTGGACCCGGAGGGGATGCTGCCCTTGGCCTTCACTAGTCTCTGAAACCACTTCATGGAGAGAAGCAGACGATGCACAGAGAAAAATATCTGTGGAAAATAACATGGTTCAAAAGTGTGATGGGAAATGTGAAGTTTAAGAACAATTTTGTATTATTCGAGGTTCATTTTAGCCCTAATACTTTGAGAATATTGTAAGAATTATGTATTTTCAGCTGCTGTACACCTGAATTTCTCCGAACGGAGATCAATAAATTATCTATCCATCTATCTATCAATTCTAAAGCATATGATGTTTTAGAATGTGAGATCTGTGACGTCTTCAGGACACATGTGGAAAGTGGCCTGAGTTGTTTTGGAGATTACTGAACTGGTTAGCTCCAGTTATGAGTTTGTGAGACTCTCCACATTTGGAATATGGCCAGTGGACCCAATCAGACTAGTGACCTCAAGATGACTCTATAATGTTGGGGATAATATATTCTAACTTAACCAAATGGACTGTTTCAACTTAAACTCAGGCCTAACCTCAACCTGATTGTGACTCTACAAAAAATGAGAAACACAAACGTGAAGATGTCTTTCTGCTCTTGAGTCATAATCGTCAAAGTCTAAAAGACTGAAAACCCCAATTCTGTGTTAGTCTCACCTGTTGCAGACGTTTCGACTGAGTTCTGGACGAACTGAGATCCAAAAAACCACAAGACTAACCAAAATTTGCCGAGAAAACAGAGACACGTGCTCACGCTTCGACCGACAAAACAATAATGAATGTATCTGTGTTCCTGACCTTAGCTCCCAAAGTTGGGTTGCCATGGAGATATAGAAGGTGCCGGTGTTCTAGAACCATGACATCACCTCATATCATTACATCATTACGCATATGTTTTAATATGGCCCAAATTATGGTTTTTAGCATCTTGTTTAAAGTCTTTTGAGTACTTAAGACATTTAAAAGTTTTAAAATGGGGCTCATTTCTCATCATTCTGAATTAAAAGAAAATATGTGTTTTTTACCACAAACAGTTCATTACAACATGCATATTGTCTGAATTATTCTATTCAGATGCTGTGAGAATGTTGAATCAATATAATTATAAATAACAAAATAAGGCGCTACAATTAAGTGCTAAAATGACTTATTTCACACATTGTTAATACATGGATATCACACTTAAATGACTCCCTGTTAAACCACATTCACATGGGATGGACAATTTGGAAGCGTTACATGGAGTTAGTAGTTCTTTATTTGTGGTAACACTTTATAATAACTACACCTTATTTAGGCTTAATAAATGTTTAAATAACACATAATTAACTGTGAACAATTCATTCAAGTGTGACCAACACTTAATAACTACTTAACTACAGCAGTTAATAAATGCTTAACTCATAATGAATACATCTTCAAGTACTTAATTTGTTCATTATTATTAAATAATTTAATAATTATGAAGTAACCATTCTTATCCATGCATTTGTCTCCAGTAGGTTAGAGTTAGACTACTGCAATGGCCTGCTCACAGGTCTGTCCAAGCAGGCTGTAAAACAGCTGCAGTACATTCAAAATGCAGCAGCCTGAGTCCTGACAAGAACCAGAAAGTATGATCACATTAGTCCAGTTCTCAGGTCTCTGCACTGGCTTCCTGTGGCTCAGAGAATAGACTTTAAAACAGCTCTGCTTGTGTACAAGTCTCTCCATGGCCTCGCACCAAAATATATTAGTGACATGTTAGTACCATATGAACCAGCCCGGACTCTGAGGAGCACAGGGACTGGACTCCTGTTAGTGCCCAGAGTCAGAACTAAACATGGGGAGGCTGCTTTTCAGATTCATGCTGCTAAAATCTGGAACAATCTTCCTGAATATGTGAGTTTAAGAACAATTTTGTATTATTCGGGGTTCATTTTAGCCCTAATACTTTGAGAATATTGTAAGAATTATGTATTTTCAGCTGCTGTACACCTGAATTTCTCCGAACGGAGATCAATAAATTATCTATCCATCTATCTATCAATTCTAAAGCATATGATGTTTTAGAATGTGACATCTGTGACGTCTTCAGGACACATGTGGAAAGTGGCCTGAGTTGTTTTGGAGATTACTGAACTGGTTAGCTCCAGTTATGAGTTTGTGAGACTCTCCACATTTGGAATATGGCCAGTGGACCCAATCAGACTAGTGACCTCAAGATGACTCTATAATGTTGGGGATAATATATTCTAACTTAACCAAATGGACTGTTTCAACCTAAACTCAGGCCTAACCTCAATCTGATTGTGACTCTACAAAAAATGAGAAACAAAACGTGAAGATGTCTTTCTGCTCTTGAGTCATAATCGTCAAAGTCTAAAAGACTGAAAACCCCAATTCTGTGTTAGTCTCACCTGTTGCAGACGTTTCGACTGAGTTCTGGACGAACTGAGATCCAAAAAACCACAAGACTAACCAAAATTTGCCGAGAAAACAGAGACACGTGCTCACGCTTCGACCGACAAAACAATAATGAATGTATCTGTGTTCCTGACCTTAGCTCCCAAAGTTGGGTCGCCATGGAGATATAGAAGGTGCCGGTGTTCTAGAACCATGACATCACCTCATATCATTACATCATTACGCATATGTTTTAATATGGCCCAAATTATGGTTTTTAGCATCTTGTTTAAAGTCTTTTGAGTACTTAAGACATTTAAAAGTTTGAAGTGACTAAAATGGGGCTCATTTCTCATCATTCTGAATTAAAAGAAAATATGTGTTTTTTACCACAAACAGTTCATTACAACATGCATATTGTCTGAATTATTCTATTTAAACGCTGTGAGAATGTTGAATCAATATAATTATAAATAACAAAATAAGGCGCTACAATTAAGTGCTAAAATGACTTATTTCACACATTGTTAATACATGGATATCACACTTAAATGACTCCCTGTTAAACCACATTCACATGGGATGGACAATTTGGAAGCGTTACATGGAGTTAGTAGTTCTTTATTTGTGGTAACACTTTATAATAACTACACCTTATTTAGGCTTAATAAATGTTTAAATAACACATAATTAACTGTGAAATTCATTCAAGTGTGACCAACACTTAATAACTACTTAACTACAGCAGTTAATAAATGCTTAACTCATAATGAATACATCTTCAAGTACTTAATTTGTTAATTATTATTAAATAATTTAATAATTATGAAGTAACCATTCTTATCCATGCATTTGTCTCCAGTAGGTTAGACTACTGCAATGGCCTGCTCACAGGTCTGTCCAAACAGGCTGTAAAACAGCTGCAGTACATTCAAAATGCAGCAGCTCGAGTCCTGACTAGAACCAGGAAGTACGACCACATTAGTCCAGTCCTCAGGTCTCTGCACTGGCTTCCTGTGGCTCAGAGAATAGACTTTAAAACAGCTCTGCTTGTGTACAAGTCTCTCCATGGCCTCGCACCAAAATATATTAGTGACATGTTAGTCCCATATGAACCAGCCCGGACTCTGAGGAGCACAGGGACTGGACTCCTGTTAGTGCCCAGAGTCAGAACTAAACATGGGGAGGCTGCTTTTCAGATTCATGCTGCTAAAATCTGGAACAATCTTGCTGAATATGTGAGACAGGCCTCCTCTCTGACAATGTTTAAAACCAGGTTAAAGACAGTTCTGTTTAGCTGTGCATACAACTGAGGGATTTTATATTTTTAGCTTTCTTTTTAATGTTCTGTGATTATTTATGATTTTAATGCTTTCTTATTTTGTTCAGCACTTTGAATTGCCTTGTGTATGAATTGTGCTATATAAATAAACTTAACTTGCCTTGCCTTGCCTTAATAATTGTATACTTGATTATAAACTAATACTGAAGTGCATGAATTATTCAGTGAGTTACTAACAGTTAGTTAAGGATGACTAACGTTTTTATATAACAATAATAAGCCATGAGACATGAATACAGAATATCAATTTATCTTTTAAATTGCTTTACAAAGCTGTAACATAACAATGAAAAAAATAAAAGGCCTCCAAATTGGCCCCATGAATTAAATACACATGTAAACACGAACAGGAGGAGCATCATCTTCAAACAGATGAACATACAGTGGCATATACTAGGGGTGGGCGATATGGGCAAAAATATATACATCATAAATCTCAATATTTTTTTCCCAACTCCTGATAACGATATTGTCACAATATCTTTCAAATCAATCATTTTTACACAAAATATTACAGTTTTTGAAGATCAAAATAGCAGCTTTTTATTTTTAAAGTGCTTCACACATCTTTGCAAAACATACACAAACATATATCAACATTAAAAATCAAATTTAAATAACACGGAAAAAACACTGACGAATGGAGAGGTTCTTTTATGGTTGGGGACACTATCGACAGACTCCAGTTAGAGAATCTTCAATCAGCTTTATTGCAGGTTTGGAAGGAGATCACAGTTTGTACGTTGCATGCTAAAGAAACCGAAATAGATAAAGGAAAACAGTATTAATAATTATTCTATAACAAATAACTAGGGCTGTCAAAATTACCGCGTTAACTCACGTTAATTCAATTTTTCATTAACGCGTTAATAAATAATTAACGCATTAACGCATCTCCGAATGACCCGCCCATTTATCCATAATATCACTCAAAATGCTGCGTGTGAGATGGCATCATAGCAGGTAGGCCCTCTGGAATTCATGTTTTAAAAGAATACACGTGTGACCGCCCCGTGTGTGACCGCTGGGCTGTTGTTTGCTGTGAACTGAAGTCCGCCTCCTCCGCGGCCGCTCTGGTTGTGAGCCGCTCACAACAACACGGCTGTGAGCGAATGGCGCCGCGGTAACATGGTCATATAAGACCATACACGCCACAAAACTATTGTCTACATGTTGTGTTCGTGTCTTTGCAACCTGTGCGTAACCTATGCACGCAAATACAGCACGGAAGTGTCCTTTCTCCTCCTGAAACTAAACTAAACTAAACTCGCTGTATTAAAGCTGGGGTATGTAAATTTCCCCCCTTTCATTAACAGCTCCTTTTGGTTGTGAGCAAAT